ATATATTGAGCGCTTATCAATACATATATTTTGCTTTGGTTATATTGATACAATATTAGAAAGCACTTCTTTTCGCGCAGCGATTTTTTTCAAGTGAGGCAGAACATGGTTTTGAAACTTTAACGAACACATTTCATCACATCAAACTTTCACTTTTTTTATTAAAAGAAGTTTTGGTATAATCCGCTCGTAATATTAACAAATAGCAGCTTTACTTTATTACTGTCACTTGCAAGATTAGTCATCTATGTAATCTTACATTTATATTTTTAAGCAGTGATTATAAAATTTTGTTTCCTTATAGCTGTTTCTAGGAATGGGATAAGAGAAAATGGAAAACAATAACTTAAAATTTTTAAATTGTTTAAGTAGTGTGATGTTTAAATTTCATTAACAAACATTTAGTTCATCTGTAAGTTTCTATCTGTCATCGAAATTTTATTAAAGGAAAAGTAAAAATAAATATATTTAGAATAATTTTCAAGTAAATAAGGAAAAAAATATTAGAGGCTGCATTAAATAATTTGATAACTTTTGATGATTAAGAATGAACTGATAATTTTGATAACTTTAAGATCAAGATTTTCATTTGAGCTATCATTACTTTATGCGCCTATTTGCTTCGATTCCTCTGCAAATCCAATTTAAAAAATTTGTTACTTTTTAATTGAGTAGATTTAATTTTTTATGTAACAATCGGTCCTTCAGAAATAAAAATAATAGTGCAACAATCTGAAATCTCCAAAAAATGGTAATATACCAATAAAACAAGTTATAAATAGTTACCAAATATTTAACTTTCTTGTTAGAAGCAAATTATGTATTTCTATTAGGTACTTAGAAATAAAATGTAAAGTATTTCTGAAAAAACCAGAGGTTTACATCAAAAATCCGATAAACCCCAGGTTTTTGATAAAAAAATCTAGATAGGCTAGGATTTTTTCACAAAAATCCCCTTTTTCAAACCTTGTTTATTACAGAACTTCTTACTTTTTTAGCACAATTAGGAATTTTAAAGATGATACTCTTTATAAATTTAGAGTTACTCATTACACATTGAACACATTCAATTCTTCATGTTTTTTAGAAATAGTTTCTTATATGGATTAGAGTTCAATTTTTTTTATTTTATTTCTTTTTTTATAAGCACATATGCTAGCAGTAGAACTGAATTTCTTGAACTCTGTCAATTTCAAAGGTAAGTGCTTCTACCTTAAAACAGTCCCCCCCCCCCAAAAAAAAAGCAGGATCTCTTCCATTTGTGATTCCTTGTCCAATACAATTCTTTTCTTTTAGAATACTTCATTCTCCTAATGGGGAACCATTCTGAGCAAAAAGAAGAATATATTAATGAAAAAAAATATTAATGAAAGAACCAAAATATTAATGAATGAAGGACATGATTTCTTTCCCTTGGCTGTACCATCCTCACACACATCCCTTCTTGTCTTTCTAACCTTGATGGACAGTCCCATTCAAGGCAATAAAAGAAAGACTTTTTATTTTAAATGTTTTTATAAGACTGAAACATTGTTTCAATCAACTATAGTGATACTGAAAATTAAAGACTTTTATGAAAACTTTGAACCAAAATTAAGTACTCTTAAAGGCCCTTATTTTCCAAAATAAAAATTAAGCAGTTTTTAAGGAACCTTGTAGAACAGTGGTTTCCAACTGGCCCACGAACTAAAATATATTAGTTGTTATTTTTTTGCGAAAATTTTTTGTAAAAAATCAGTATGGGTTTAAAATACTTTTCTCGCTAATAGAAACCTAATTTCTTCATTTCTGTGAAATTTAACATACAAACGGTGCAAAAAAATTAATTTCTCAGGTTTTGCATCCAGGAAAATATTTATTCAAATACAAAAATAATCGTGCATGTTGCTCTTTTTTATTTCATTTCTTTGTATTTTGTGAATATAATTTAGCATGTGTGTATCAGAAATTTTCTTCAAGAAATTCTCCAATTTAACATTTCGAAACCACTCATTTTGGACGGAAATATTTACACACACACTTGTAAATTTTAAATGTAAATATCTATTCTCTGATGGTGGCAGCAGACAAACCTCAATTTTCTCATTGAACATTTTGTGTACTACTATGTAAGTTTTAATACCAACCTTTTTAAAGTTTTATATCTTAATAAATAGATATGTGTTGCACACTAATTGTTTAATACATAGGTGCACATTAAAGTTATTGTAGCCTGAATTTTTTAATATGCAATCAAATATTTTTAAAAATCTACTTCTTATTTTAATTTGTAATTCAATACTTTTGTTTTGTACAACTTGGTAAAAATCTGACAGTAATATTTAATGTTCCTTCAAACATAAAAGAGTCCTACATAAAATTTTGATAAAGTTGCGGCCCGCCATTTGATTTGTGTTTTTAATTGTGGCCCCTGGCCTCATGTAGGTTGGAAACCCCTGTTGTAGAATGTTTGACACTTAAGTATTTCTGAAACATAAATCATTTGGATTAATGGATAATAACTTGACTATGACCTAATATATATATACAGTCAATTCGCTATAACTCGAAGTACGATAACTCGAATATTACTATAACTCGATTTTTTTGTGAGGTCCCGACCCTTTCATCTTTAATTTCATGTTAATTATTCTCGATTACTCGAATTTTACTCCCTTTAACTCGATTTTTTTGGATCTTTTAAAGCAAGAAAAAAAAACCTAGGAGTTGATATCTTGCCCCTTCTTTTGCAACACACACACAATGTCTTTCGCACTCTTCATGGAGAAGCTAAAGCTGCCCCTCTTGAAGTATGTGAACAGTGGTTAAATGAAACGTTACCAAATTTACTTCAAGGATACAGTTAAAATGATGTTTTCAATATTGATGAAATGGGTTTATTTTTTAAATGTCTTCCAAATAAGACTATGATGTTTATAAGGATGAAAACTGCTCAGAGGGTAAAATGAGCTAGGAACGTTAGTCTGTCCTAGTTGGAGGAAATGCGTCTGGGACAGAGAAATTGCCCTTACTTGTTATCGGAAAATACCGAAATTCCCGATGTTTCAAGAATGTAAAAATGTGTACTTTGGATTACAAGTCTAACAAAAAGTTTTGGATGAAATCAGTTTTATTTGAAGACTATGTAAGAAAATTGGATCGAAAATTCTTCGCTAAAAAAAGAAAAGTGATACTCTTTATGGATAAATGCACAGCGCATAGTGATCTACCTAATTTGAAAGCAGTAAACTTGCAGTTTCTCCCGCCAAACACAACAGCAAAGTTGCAGCCGATGGACCAGGGTATCATAAAGTGCTTCAAACAGTCTTATCGTAAATGGCTTGTCAGAAAAATGATCTTAAATATTGTAAGCATTTAGAAGATTTGTAATTAATAAGCATTAATTAAATAATCCGACAATATTTTGAAAGTCCAAAACCGAAACTAACGGTAAGTCGAACTTCCGATATGTCGAAGTTTTTCGTCAGTCCTATCAGATTCGAGTTATCGCGAATTCACTGTATATTCCAAGTGGTACAAAATTTTAAATTGTAAGATTTAATATTTGAAGTTACATTCCTCCATTTAACACATTAAATGATAATTCACAATATATATGTATATTTTTTTGTTTTGCTCATAGACCAAACTTTACTTAAAAAATCATTATAATTCAAAAATATAAGTAAAATAAACGGCTTTTTCAAAGAATAAAATTTAATTTCATGGCAAAATTTCCAGACATGCCACCTTGCTTTCTCCATTTAACACATTAAATGATAATTCACAATATATTTATTTTTTAGTTTTGCTCATAGACCAAACTTTACTTAAAAAATTATTATAATTCAAAAATATACGTCAAAAAACGGCTTTTTCAAAGAATAAAATTTCATGTCATGGCGTAATTTCCAGACATGCCACCTTGCTTCGTTCCAAGGTAATATTTTTCTAGAGCTGATAAAACTTTTGCTTTAATTCATAATTTCTGTTTTAATAAATTTAATTAAAGATTACTTAGTCTTGATAAATAATTTAAAATTCATTAAATTTAATATTATTTCTATTATAATCAAAATAAGATTTTAAAAGTGTGGATAAGTCAGAGCTCATTCTAGGCAGAGTAAAGAGCAGGGTGCAAAAGTTTAAAAAAAGGGCATTATTATTCAAAAAAGGTAATAATTTCTTTCTATGGGCTTTACACGTTCTATTAAAAAACATAATAATAAATAATAAATTAACATATATATCGAGTTAATGAGCTAACTAGCTTAGTAATTTATTTAAAATGCATGTATATATTAATAAAATAATAAATGTATGTTTTTAAGTGTCTGTAGTTATGATTTAATGATAGTGGAAGTAACTGCAAACTTTCAAAGACAAGTGCAACAAGGGGGTGTTGTGGCTATTTTTCCTTTCCCATATAAATCTATGTATTGACAGCAACAACAAACTAAATAAAAAGAGTTGAAAATAACAAAAGTTTAAGAAATCCATTGTAGAGTTTGGCGAAAAAGTAAAAAGGGTTGAAGAAAGAAAGGGCAAAAAGGGTATGAAGTCTATTACATCAGGGCACTTATTTACTTCAGGAGCAACAGGGTGGATTATTTTGACTAAAAGGGCAGCAGGATGCTGCGCCCTGCTTAACCTGCCTAGAATAAACTCTGGATAAGTTATTTAAAACTCTAAACAAAAAGTTATTATACCAACTCAACAATGAATTAGAATGCATCTACCCCAAAACTTGAAGATCGTATTCCCTGTTTTACTATTAAATAGAGAAAAACAAAAACATTACCAAGTGAAACATGCATTTATTAAGAAACAAAGATATAAAACATATGAAAACAAAATAATTCTGAATATAGATTCTTTTTTTTAAACAAACTGTAAATATATATTTCTACCAAATAATTAAATAAGACCTTTCAGAAATAATAGTAATTGAATGAAAACGTTTTAATTTTTACTACACTGCCTCATGCCGGTTCATATTCTATAAAAAATAATCTAAACACTTTGTAGAAAGTATTTATAATACACTTTATTTCATATTATAAAACTATGCAGATTTATAAGGTTTCACAAGATTATCAGAAAATGCAACTATTTTGCTTGTACCTCTAACTTCATGTTCAAGAAGTGGAAGTTTGGTAACATGAAAATCTTCATACAGATCTGAGATTTGATCTAAATACTTTTCTTGCAGTTTAAACCTAGCACAACACATACTACATGATTTTCCAACCGTATTAGGGAACAATAATTGGTTTACAATAATATTATGCGTGTCAATACCACATTTAGTAAGTTCTTGTACCAGTCTTTCAGTTTCGTACAATGAGAGAAATTCAGCAATGCAAACACACACGAATGTGGTTTGATCAGGATCACGAAATTGTTCATTTACTTGGCGGATGATTGGTAGGATCTCTTCAATTTTTGATGACATCACATCAGCAGACAAGTCCTGGATTCCAAGAAGGTTAGAAATTTGAGACACAAAAGGGCTTAACTGAGATTTTATCTTCAGGAGTTTCCCCAGGCCATTTTCAACCAGCTTTGGAAAGGACAATAATCTCAAGGTATGACCAGTAGGAGCGGTGTCAAAAACCACCACAGAAAAATTCCAACTTTTAACAAGTTTCATGACTTCAGCATAGCTAACAGCTTCATCAACACCCGGAAAAGCTCCTAACAATTCTTGAATATTCTTTCCTAACCTCATTGGATCATCGTCCGCAAAGTAATCTTCAGGTAGCTGAGTAGCTCCCAGATTAGGGTCAACTTCCATAGCATACAAATTGTTGAATCCTTTCACCAAAGTAGGAACTTTGGAAAATTTTTGATCAAATGCGTCAGATATGTTATGAGCAGGATCAGTGGATATAATTAACACAGTTTCTCGAACTTTTGCTAATTGTACTGCTAAACATGAGCTACATGTTGTTTTGCCTACTCCTCCTTTACCACCCACAAAAACCCATTTGAGGGTTTTTTGATCTAATATATTTTGAAGAGAAGGCTCTAACTCAAAAATTTCACTCGAATCCATGGTATTCTTCTCAAATAAATAATATCAATACGTAATAATTTATAAACACTGATGATGCACTTTTTTGTTTGTATTGGGTCTTTATAATTGGGAATGCATTAAAGTAGAAGTACATGAAAAGTTGACTCGATTTATCCGGATGACTTTCTTTTGAAGATTTTGGAGGCACAATTATAGTAAACAGAAAAGTATTCTTGTTTATTTCTGACATTTATACTGAATATATAAATTTTTAAAGGAGAACATACAACTTTATCGATAGTACTACTTCATCGTTCGAAATTTGATTCGTTAAAGAGGAAGAGCTGTACTGCTTGCGTCAGTTTATGTTCTTTAAAGTGTAAAATTGCATAGTTTTAATCGGATAAAAAGTTCGTTTCAGTTTTAAGCGACTTTAACGTTAGTTCAATCCGGACAAATCCACCAATGACTGTTTGAACATGTGGTATCTATTGCTCATAACTTTAACTGCGTATTAAATTGGAAAATGTTTACTAAAAGTTTGTTTTCTTATTTTAATAAATTTTCTGGATCGCTTCCTATAAAATAATTATGGTACTTATGTAAAAAACATCAAGAAGTTTTCAGTTGTTAATTATATTATTCCATCTTAAAATGATTTAGGATTCTGTAAGGTATGAAGAGCACAGTTTCTAAACACAGTATTAAGTTCGGGAACGAAGCTTCCCGAAGACTTTATAGGTAAATTTTATTCATAATATGCTTAATTTTTAACCTCTGATAGTCTTTTAATATTTCTTGTTTAATTTGTTTTTGTCATCTGTTTTGAATTAATTTAACCTTTTGAGAGTTTTAGCAATTTTTTTGATAACCTTCGTCCTATAGATTCACTGAGGTATTGCGTAACATGTTTACCTAATTTTATTAAACGTTGCACTTTTACCTGTAAATAGTTATGACTCAGAACAAAAACTTTTCTTTTGCTGTTGATTTGTTTCTGTTTAAGATCGGTCATTATGTCCTTAAATACTCCTTAAATAAATTGTATAATCACAAATCACAGTTACACCTAATATAATTTTTTTCTCATACCATAAGGAATTTTTTCCTTTAATGAAATCTGAGATTATTTAAAAATAATATTCATTTAAAAAACATACCATTTTCAAATATCTTATTTTATATAATTATGTGATTATTTATTGAGAGATAGATTTTTAAAAATAATGCTAGGCAAACAAGAAAAATTTACAGAATTATTGCTTGACTATAGAGTGCTTAAGTAAATAATTTTGCATGACCCTTTGAATAAGGACGTTTTCCGTATCAGTATCTACACCAAATTCTTAGAAGAATCTGGCAGTGTCTCACAGGAAAAGCAAAAAAAATAGGGGGGGGGGAGCAGAAAAGGCCAACATGAAAAAAATAACTTGTAACCACTCCTGGGTAATATACAACATTTTCTAATAAAAAATTCATTAGCACCTGGAAGACATGTACGAATATGAAAATATTTCCTTAAAATATTCTTTATTGATGTCCGTTAAAAAAATGATTCACGTCAGACCTCAGATTGAAATTAAGATTTTCTTCTTTTTTATAATTTTATCCCTTAAAACAAAAAACTTAAGATATAATTTTTTTTTTGCTTTGAATTTTTCTTTTTAATTTATACTTCAACTAAAGGGCTCTTATGGTCTCTTATAATGCCCTCTCCTCCTCAACAGATTAAATTTGTTCAACTCTTTCATTTGACTGTTGTAATGTTGCAATTATCAGTATTAAAACAAAGCGTTAAAAAAACCCCGTCTTATAGATTAAGAAAGGTGAATGATCAGTTTTCTAGTTAATCAGAGGAAATAAATTTTCTGTTCACATTAGTAGTAAAATTTTTTCAAGGGTAATAAAATTTGTGTTCACCTTAAAAGATATTTCAGGTTAAAAGTACTTTAAATTATAATTGTATTTCCAAATACAATTTGACAGGGAATCGATAATAAGTTCACGTTATGCTTGTTCATATGAACGAGGTATAACTGTATAAAATATCATTGCCAATATTTATTGCTGCTTACTTCATTATCAATATTTATTGGGCTATTCCATGGTGTCAAATGTAAAAAATGAACATAAATTTCTTAGAAAAAACTCTCAGAAAATAATACAAGTTTATAATCATAAAGTTTTTATATCTAATATGTAGTACTTTATAACCAATCAATAGATAATTTGTACTATTAGAAAAACTGATTATAATAAGTTCAAATTAAATTGTTCGTGTCAGACGTAAATCTTTTCAAATACTGACCACCTGTGTCATTCTTCAAATACTGGCCCAATAACTAGTAGTTCAATAACAACTTTTATCCCATTTACCTAACATTTAAATAGTAAGTGTATTATTATTGTAGTTTGCTATGCAAATTATTTGCAAATTGGTGAGATAATGAGAAAAAATTAACACTTATCCTTCAATAAAAATCTAAATGTAATAGAAACTACATACATTAGTAACATGTACTGTTCAATTTTAAACCAATGAATGTTTTTATGTTGACTAAAAGCTACGCTGATTTATAGTTGTAAAATCTTATTCGATATATAATTTAATTAATGAATTCAGTTTGTAGAATCTAAACTTATAACAGTCCCAAATAATTCCCTTAAGTCTGACATATCATATATAGAGGGTGCAAAAACTGAGTTAGTCCCTGTAAGCCATAACTGTGCCTTTGTTTGTATTTGCAAAGTTTGGTACTTTACATCTGAATGCATTTGGCAACCAATTAACAAGCATTTGTGGTAAATTAAGTATAAGCAAGTGCTAAAACTCAAAAATGGTTTTCTGAATGTGTTTGAATCGCTTTTCTCAAGAGAAAAGTACAAAATACAAAAAATAGATAAGTGCAAAATGTTCTAAATGAAGTTAAATTGTTTTTTGAAAAATTCAAACTAATTTATTCATCTCAAAAAAAAAAAAAGATAAAGAAGTAAAATAAAAGATATATAAACAACTTTATTGATCAATTTTAAGTTCTAATATAAATACTTTTAGCTACAGCTTAGTTAAGCAAATTTTATTAGATAATTGAGGTAAAATACATTGTTCTAAATTATACTAAAAGAATATTTAGACAGTTTCTATTCATAATTCACTTCATTTTACTAAGAAAAAGTGAAATAATAGATTGAAATAGGTGAAAACAAATATAATAAAAGAAAAGCAATGGTGTCGGAGATAAAAAAAAAATAATTATTAATTTACATTACAATAAAAATATTTATTATTTTTAAAATCAAAGTAGACCATACAAATGAGCCTTAGAAGCTTGCTTTTAACAGAAAAAATAATTTAATTATGTTGCCATCTTTAATTAAAAGTTTCCATCTTTTCTTGAAAACAGCTGTTTAATTTATTTAATACAGCAGATTTTACTAGCATAAGATGAAACTCAATTAACATTAGTTGAAAATTTCATAACATAAATAAACACAGCATCAATTTGTAACACAAAGAGTTATAATTTTTTTATTATTTATTTATTATTATTATTTTATTTATTTATTTATTTTTTGTAAGCTCTTTTATACGGTTTGTGTTGAATTTTAATGATGATTTTGATTACAAGCAACAAGTGTTGCTGTTATTTTTATAAAATTTCCAAATAGTTTCGTTGTTTCGTAATATATTATTTTTAATTTAGGAATTAATTCTCTTGTTAATGAAAAACAGTCACAACAGTTCATATGAATTCATATACGTAATAAACTTGTGCTTTAAGTTTTTAATTGCATTTGGCTTTTTTTATAATTGCATGGTCCATTTTTTGAACCACTTTTATTGCTTAAGCTTATTTCATTAATAAGCTTTCTACATTTGTCAATGTATTAATTTACTTTTTTATTAAATTTTAATAGTTAAAAAAAAAATAATTACTAAATAAGGCCAATTATGACATTTTCGAACCATTTTTATGTAATATCTTGGTAAAAATCAGTTTTGACCAGTTAAAATTACCACCTTTCTGAAATAAGCATTTAATTAAATCTTATTTCTCTAATTTTTTAATTATGAATTATATAAAGATTTTTTTTCTGTGCAGGGCTCTAAAAAAATAAGGAGACAACTGCTTCCCTTTCAATTTACCTATTGGTTAAAATAAAAAATTTTGAATTTTTTTTTAGGTAATTTTTTTTAATAGTGATTTTTTTTTTTTTTTTTTGACTATCACTCTATGGATATGGAAACTGATTTTTTGACAACTCTGAAAACATGATACTTTATTTTTTATTGTTCCTAACACAATTTTATGCTGTGTAAAAGCGAAATGAAAATATTGATTTTAAATTTCTTTGAGGAAGGTATTTAATTCAATTTTCTGTTATTAAAAGAAGTCCGTACAGGGGTCTGTCCAGACATTTTGTAAAAGGTCCATTTTTGTAAAAAACATTACTCGTAATTTGGGAGCATAATATAAACGTTAAGTCACATTCTTTCAACCAGAGTCCTGCTTTTGTAAATTTGTGCAAATAGGGTCCTGTTATTGCAAAAAAACTTTTTCAAGGAGTTTTTAAATTGTAAAGAGATACAAGATTATGCTCCACATTGTAAAATTATAATAAAAAAAGTAAAATTTTAAAAGATAAACATAAATTGCTGCTACTAAATTAGAGATGCAACATACAAATATTTGGTATTTAGCCTATACTGCTGAACCCAGAATATTCATTTCGGTCGAATAAAGGAAGAAGTGTCTGCCGAAGACAAAACTTAGTTCATTTACATCTATCTGTCTTTCTCTCCCCTCTCTCTGGGAAGGGTTTATTCGATTAACAAAACAATAATGAAGATAAACAAATTTGTGCAGGGTCCGATTAAAAGATTAATTATTTTGTGAAGGGTCCGTTTTTAAGTGAAAATATTTTATGAAGGGTCCATTTTTATTAAAAGATATTTTGTGAAATGTCCGTTATTTCTTCTAAAGAGACCCCTCCCATATATTTATTTAACTGATTCCAATATTGAAAGAACCAGCCTGTTGTATGGAAACTAATTAGAAAAGAAGAAAAAAACATAACTATCAAAACTTCGAAATGCATAATTTTCAGAGGCCTTACAACAAGAAAGTGTGTTTATCACATTTCTAACTGTATAATGAACCTGTTTATAAATATATTTTATTATTAATCATAATTGTTACTTTCATTAATTTAAATAGGGGTGCTGCAGATGCTGCTAGAAAGTTGGAACAACATTTGAATTTAGTTAATAGTCTTAGTGTTCTTTTCTCATCTGAAACGACTGATCTTAGGATGCGGTATGCTTTCTTTTTTGTTTTCTGGCAATAATTGATTATATAAAATAAATTTCTTTATAGTCCCTTATTAAAATTAATTTTAAGACTATTTTGCTCATTTTTAAATCTATACATTTGTACATTATCTTTATAGCTTTTTCTTCATTTATTTTTGTAGGTTAAAAGAATTTTGTGAGCGGCTAATTTTTACTGATCCTGTAGAATATGGGAAAAAAGCGGAGGATTTATTGTGGCGAAAAGTCTTTTATGATTTCTTTTACAGATGCAAGCAAAACAAAAAAGTAAATAGTTTTAAATTTCTTCAGTCTTAACTTATCTAATATTTCATAGTTATGAATGAAAAATTACTCATTACTTTATTTATTTGTAATTTTTTTTAATGTGGTGTTCAAGTTTCTTTAAGTTTAGAGTTATAATTTTATTTTTTTCAATTATTATTTTATAATTGACTTATAAATTGATATGTTAACAATAGTTCATATTCCTCATGAACTAATATTAATTCATATTTAATCAGGTTTATCTTTTTCAAAAGTTATATTATTTTTCAAAAGTCATTTATCAAATACAACTGACACTAGTTGAGTTATTTTCAAGTGCTGTGTTCGTTTTTTAATCTTAAATAAAAGCAGTGCATTTTTAAAATGAGTTAAGCATTTTTTTAACTATAAGTGAATACAATATTTTTGTGCATTCATGTTAAATTGTTTATAATTTATAATTTCTGTTTTTATACGAATGTGAAGGATCATTTTATTAAATGTCAAATTTACAATTATTAGTCAGGTACGTAAAATACATATAAAAAAAAAATTCTATGAATGTCTGCTTATTTAGATTACAAATGAAATGAACCAACTCCTCCCACATTTAATTAATACATAGCAACATATTTATTACATTCTATGCAAAATTGTTGTATAGGTTTTTTTTTTCTTTTTTAAATTGTAAATGTAATTTAACTTAAGCGTAGGAGGGTAACATTTATCAATCTTTTTTTGTCCTATTTCATATTTCTATTTTTGTCAAAAAGAAAAATAACAATTATGCACCATGTATATTTATATTAAGGATCCTTGGTTCCCTGGATAGTTAACACCACTTGTGTGTAGTGCAAACCACATTGTCACAATCAAGCATTTGGTCATGAAATTGTGGAGCTTAGCCTCTGTGATCCTCTAGCTCACCAAAAGTTGTTGCAGAAAAAGCTTGACTTTTCTTTAGATTTTGAAATACCTTTTGCTTCCATAATACTTAAATATATTCAAAAAATATTTTGCAGATGTTCCAAATAACTTTTAGATTAGCAATTCAATGATCAATGATTTAACAGTTTATCATGTATAGTTAAAAAGCTCCTGAATAGTGTAAGTGTATTTAACGAATGATAATTAACGATTCTTTTGGTAGTAATTTTTTTTTAATTAAAAGATACTGTCTATTCACATAAAATATTATTTTCTCTTGATCTTGTACTATACTTCTTTTTAAAATAAAAACCATATTTGCCATACCATATGCTTTGATATCATTTAAATTCCAATTAGAATCAAGATAATCTATTTTAAAAACTGTTGGTTGTCGGGTATAAGGTTTGGTATCCTTTATTTACTAAATTGGCTATATTATTTATGTATTTTTTCATATCTAGTTATAATTGCTATTATATTTGATTTAGATCTTTCTATTTTTTCTTTCTTTCTAGATTTTGTTAGAGTCTAACAATGACAGACGTGCTCTTATAAACCAGTTATTGGCAGGCATTGGGTTTTATCATCACTTACTATTGAGAATACAAACTGAGTTTCACATAAATCTTGAGGGAAAAGTAGATGTTCCTCTACTCTGGCATATGAAAGGTGTAAAGAAGGGTGGGTTTATTTATTTATATAATTGCTATAAAATGTCTATTTTGCTTTGATATCACTACAACTAAAATACTGATTGATGTATGTATACGGAAAAATAATTATAAAAAAGTTTTTCATGGAATATTTGTATGAGAGAGTTAAGACCCACTGTATTATATAATGCTTTTTATGAGAGATTCATAATTTTAAAATTTACATTTAGATCTTAAATAAAGGTACCTTTTATTTTTTAAAGTTAAGTTGGAATTGGGAAGGAAGATGATGTTTGCTTGAATCCTAAGCTTAATGTTTTTGACCATTAGAGTTTCCAGGGCATTTTCCTGGAACACAAAATGGCACCAAAAGATTAAATTGATAGTTTCTGAAAAAAAAGAGGAAAGGTGTGTTTGTATTACAGTGTTTTAAGAAATTATTAATCATGGTACATAGTTGTGTATCACTAGCTAGAATAAGGTAAGTTTTATTATATCTGAAATTGTGTGCACAGTTTTGCCTTTTTGCCCAAAAAGCAGGGTTGGAAAGGTTTTACCACAGTTGAAAAATCTATGCCTTTTTTCCAGCAGGCGAAAATTGGATTTGCATTGGAAACTTATGAACACAATTTTTTCCCTCTAGCAAATTTTAAAAAAACAGCATTCAAAATGCTTTCAATCTTCTACAGAGTGAGCTAGTATTGCTCTATACTAGATTTAATATAAAACATGTGTATAGAACTAGAAATATATAGGTTGTTTATTCTGCCTTTCTCCACTGGAGACAAAATACATTATTTTTTTAGTGAGAAAGAAAAAAAGTCCTAATATTTCTCTGTATGATTTAAATATTTTCTTCCAAAATTAAACTACTTAAAAAGCAAAGTGGAATCTGAAAAGAATAATCTTAATTTAACAATTTTTGATAAATATACTAATTTTATAAATGATAATATGTATAACAGATATAAATATGTATAATATATAAATCCTTTATGACATTAAAAGAACTGGATTTCTTTGTCTTCAAGATTTTTTTTTTAAAAATAGTATCACCTGTTTTCTTAAACAGAAATTTTAAGCTTTAAAAAAGAATATATTGACATTATTCAGTATTTATTGTTGTTTTTGTGTTTCAAGTTGCTTATTTTTGTTGTTGATTGATAAAAGGAAATATTTACGCCATTAAATAATTAAATGTAAACTTTGTTTAACACAAGTTAAAAAAAACTTTGTAGTTTCCTTAAATTATTCGATATATTTTTTTATTAAATTAACTCCATTTTTTTAAATTAAGTTTTAAATATAAGTTAATTAAGTCACACAACTTGTTCTGTGAATCAATTTCTGTTACTGTGTGTTTTACTGCCTAAGCATGTTCATTCTTGAGATCAGAATTGACGACATTACTTGTCATGAATAAATTAGAAAGCATACTTCAATAAATTTTCAAATAATTTTTAAGGTTTATATTGTTTTACATAATACTAAACTTTCTATATACAGTATGCTTTTATTTTTTAACAGAGCGCTGGAAAAAGTATCAGCAATCTGCAGCTAGTGATGTCAATGTTCAGAAGTGGGCTGATCAAGCAAGTCATCGCATATTAATTTATCTTGGAGATTTAAGTATGTTGTATTTCCAGCCTGAAATTTATCTATTCCTGTTTTTTTTCTTCTTCCTATAAGTAATTATTTAATTAGTAATGTATATTTGTTATTTAATTGTGTTTATTTGCAATAGTTTTTTTCGTCACCGATTCTTTATAATATAGAGAATAATACAAATAAATAGATACAATTATATTATTCTCTACATTATAGAGAAATGGGGTAGATGTCTTTGAATATATTGTTCAGTGTAAAGGGGATGCTAAAGTATAGCAACTAAACTTATCTGCTATTTTAATGTATTTGTGTTTCGTTGGTTTTTGTCCTTGTTATCATTCACAAAGTTTTTGTTCTTTTTAATAAAATATGCTCTGAATAAAGAATTAAATTTCATATTTGTTATGTACTTTTAAATATGTGTTTCTTTCCTTTGATGAAATTTGTAAATTTTCATATGTAAATTTTTTTTAGCTCGTTATCTTGCTGAACTAGATGAAATTGAGTGTCAACATATTGCAGAACGCTATTATCAACAAGCTTTTTGTTTGAACAGTCTTAATGGAACTCCTCATAATCAATTAGGTTCTCTTTATGCAAATAAATTTGAATCAGCATATCACTATATGAGATGGTAAATTTTAGTTCCCTATCTATATTGTTTTAGCTATTTATATGAATGTCTTCCTCATTTATAAATGTTACTTTTAAAGTGACTTAGTTTTTAAATTATTGTAAAAGCACAATAAGATTTCTAGTAGGTAGGTGGAATACTACATTTAAATATTTCACAAGAAAATATGTATAATATACATGAACAGGCAAGCATGGTTGATGAAAAATTTGTTCTTATCGTGGAAATTTTTGGTATCTCTCATTATAAACAAAAAATGCACCCTGCAATAAATATCTTTCAAACACCGCAAAAAAAAAATGTATTACACATTTAAATATAAGCTCGAAAATCCTATGTTTTAACCCGCAGACTTATCTTGCAGAGATATGAGTTTTGTTTTCTTCGTGCAGCAACAGTTTTTCTGCATTTACATCATTGCATTTGACATTCAGGCATGCCAGTATTTATAATAATCAATATAGAGTTTTTAAGAGTAAAAACATTTTTTTCAAAAATCAGTGATTTTCAAACAAATTTCGCCAAAATAAGTGGCAGCAAAAGGCTTAAATTAACTCTTGAAACTAGTTTCAATAGTTAATTTATCTTGTGATATTTAAGATGTAATTAGGTATAATTGGTGGTAGAAAGTTTTTTAACTGAGAATTTGTGTTCGTAGAAAGTTTTTCATTTTATTTAAGTCTGATGCTAGAGTTATTTTTTAGAATATCTATATTTATTTTATTGGTCCTTTTTTTAAAAGTAAAATAATAATAACTGAATTAAGTTTATAATTAAAAATATAACAAACTGTTAATAATTGTAGCAAAGTAAAAAAAAATATTTTTCCAATTTTTTTATCATTATTTTGTTCATATTTTATCGAAGATTTCAAAGATTTTCAATTTTAAGATAACCATCTGGTTACCGAGCAATTGTCAACCTTTTTAGGTTTTTATTGTTCTTATGTACATAGACCAAAAATAATTTTGTTGTCATCTAGACCAAGACTTTCACAGACATATTATGAATAATTTAAGGAATAGAATTTCATAATAAAATGAATAGCAAAAAATAAAAAGAAATGTAACTAAATCCCATCATTGTCAATTTTAAAAGGAGTTTCAAAGGCACAGCAAATTTTAAATGCACATCCTTATTGTAAATTGTAATAGCATTAACTGACCTCTTCTAATTGCAGTGTTATTTACAGTTATAATATTGAATTCTTTTTGTTATGCAGTTATATATAAACTGTTTATACAAAATTTATTTTTGTCATATATTATTAATTTTAAATTACAAATGTTAGAGTTAAAAACTTGCATTAACTTTTTTATTTTCAGTACCTTAATTTAAATTTTAAAAATATATAATTGAATTTCAACATAGACACATAACCAATGGCAGAATTTAATAAGTCAGTCTGCAACACTATCTTATGCAATACTATAATTTCAAATCCATTTGCATCTTCAATAAAGATTATTAGGTCAGAGTTTTTATGAAAATTGAGCTAAATCTAACATGTATTTTGCACAATTTGCAAACGTTAAATGTACTGAAATTATGCACAAAAATTTCGTATTGTCTAAATTTAATTTGAAATTTATAGAATCATACTTTTATTTTTGCCTTAATGAAAAAAAAAAACTGTTCTTATACTAAGCCCAATAACAAAATATTCAACTTGCTGCTACTATTAGAATAAATCATTTCATTTTAAAGGAAGAAATTAACAGAACTGTAATTTATGGGATTCTGATTTATGACTGTTTAAAGTTTCTTTAATTGGAATTTATTATCATAACATCACATGTTCTTTGCAGACAAATAAAACATTAACCTGTAAAATAAGGATTGAGTAAGTTTCATTATGTGGTAGGAAATTTTAGATCTATCTATCTATATATATGTATGTATATATATAGAGAGAGGTTGAAAAATTTTTCTTTTTCATTTTATCTTCAATTTTTACTTGTTCTCAAATTTTTTTTCTGCCTACAATTTTTTTTCCTTTCAAATCCGAGGTGGAGGTAATCTGCAGGTGCTGTGGCAATTTGCAGCGCCTACTTTCAAACTGCTATTGATTTTTGCTATTGGGGACTGATACATATTATAAACATATTTAAACTAAAATTATTTGCCTTTATATTGATAAATTTTTCTTTTTGTTATTCTTAAAACATGTAATGGAATTGTGTTTATATATTTCAGCTTGTCATGTAAAGATAAATTTGATGGAGCTGAAGGTAATCTAAAGCGAATGTTTGAAAAAAATGATGAAATATCAAAACAACTGTACTCAGAGGATCTGACAGACCAAGAGTAAGTGTTTTTATAATCGTTCTAATATTTAATTGATACCATTCCATTAATCTACAATGTGCAGAAGTAAAAAACGAAATGCCATGATTTACATTTGAAATAATGATGATATGTGCCAAATATGTTTTTAAAACCGTGTGTCTGGCGCAGCATGTCCTCTCAGGACCTTGCGCCATTAAAACTTACATTCAATTCAATTCGTATATGTGCCAAATCAAATATGTGAAGATAACATTTTAGGTTACAAAAAGTAGGCACAAATGAGTACGTTCTCTAAATAAACATACCTCTTTTTTTTAACGAGTTTTGGATCCCTTATCCCTAAAATATAAAGAGTAGCTACAATCTGGAAAATATAGTCCCAATAGTTTGGTCAGGAGAGCCGTCCATTAAGATGAAGTCCTAATACATGAAAATATTTAATCAATAGATAAAAGGTTATCCAGTAAGATTTTTTTGCACACTTTACATTTGTATACTTTGCTTAGCAATAATTTATAGTTATTCTAAAATTTTGCTGATTACTAAATTATGAATTGAGTTGTTAATTTAGTTAGAAAAAAATTTCCAATTTAAATTCATGGCTGACTTTGTATTACTTTTTTGTAATAATGGCTTTGGATTTTCTAAATATTTCTTCTTAATTTATCATCATTATAGTTGGCTAGGCAGCCCAATGGCGGCCAATGCCTTTCTCTGAAGGTTTCTCCATAACAACTTCCGATTTATCGTTCAGTTCTTTTTATTAATTGCAAGAAAATCAGACTCCACCGAGTCAGCCCATCTCAACCACAGCCTTCCACGCTTTCTTGTTCCAGTGGGTCTACAAATCAGTATCTTTTTTATTGTATTGTCATCACTCATTTGAATCACATGGGCCATCCCGTTCATTCAATTTATTTTTTTGTATTTAATAATATCGGGTTGTTCATAAATCTTGTACAGCCCAAAGTTAAATCTCCTTCTGCAGTTATTGTTTTCATTTACACCACCAAGTATACTCCACAAAATCTTTCTCTCAAATATTGTGATACAATTTCCCAATTTGTCAATTTAAGTTTACTAAATATTAAGGTATTCAAGAAAAAATTATCGAAGTTTTTTTTATTTTTTGTTAATTATTTGTTCTTACAGTTATCGAAAAAATTAAGATTTTGGTTCACCAGATTTGTTAATTATAATATTAAATAGAGTTTAAAAGTTTCAAAATAAAATTACCCCTACCTCTCTCGAATATATTTTTTCTTTCTTCCACCTCTTTAATTTTTTTTATCCGCATTTTCTAATTTATTATTTAATATTGTTTATCTTATAGTTGTTTAATTTTGTGGTATGTTTCATATAAATAATTTGTTGTTACTATTTATTCTGATATCCTGCTTTTGAATACTTATCAACCTCAAAATCGATTTTGCTGTATCTTATATAATACCCTGCTCACAAACCCACCCCTGAATGAAAGCTTACTCTATTTACTCGCAATGTGTGAGTGTGCATTATAGGCATGCTGCTTTATCCATAATAATTTTAGAATAAGACTAGCTGGTCTTAAGGAAGGATTTTCCTTTTTATTAAAATCATCCTGTTGACAAATTCAACAGGCAAGTAAAATATGTAACAAAAATTAGAAACAAACTGTAAACTTTGAAAAAAATATGGAAATAATTAAATAAATTTCTTATAAAGTTACTTATAAAAAAAAAATCTTTTCTTACCTTTTTATAATTTGTTCCATCTATATATATGCTTTGATTTGAAAAAAAGAAAAAACAATACAGCTATTTAGGGTTTAATGAAATCATAGTAGACTTGCATTTTTTATGCATATTCAGGAGTTAATTGTTTTCATTTTTATTCAATACAATTATTGTCAAAAATAATGAGCTTTTGAGATTAATCTTAGAGCAAATAGGGTAAAGATTATACAAAATAGTGCTTGTGGCTTAATAGTTTTCTCACGATTTATTTTATCATTAAGAAATTAATTAGAAAGTGTCATTAGATCGTCAAAAAAATATATGAATTAACTTAAAAAAATTAGACCTCAAAAAAATTAAACTGATTCAAATTAATTTTAACTCTACATACAAAGTTTGAAAATATTATTTTTAACTGCAGATTCATAAATTAAACTGTTATCTGGTCTTGAAAGTGAATTTCAATAAATTTAATTTTAAAAAAAATTTCTGAATGAATTTTGATTATATTTTATTTAATGTGGTGAAGAAATATGATTAAAGTAAATCAATATTGCTTAGATAAATTTTTAAATGTTCTTCACACAACTAATTTTTCTCTTTTGCTATTACATTCATTCATAAAATCGAGGTTATTAAATTTAAATATGTTACTTTTTTTTCTTATTAAGCAATTAAAAAATTGAACTTGTCTTGATCTGGGCTATAGAAAAAATATATTTTTATATAATGAGATTAACAAGTCTTCGTTATTTCATTCATGAATATAGCAGATTTTCAATAAACTCTATTGGTATAATCTTTTTCATAACATAATTTTCTTTGTTCATTTCAAAATGTTTATGAATATTTTTGCACTTTGTGTAGATTCCTAATGAGCTCAAGATTTTTGTCCAGATTCTTAAAATTGTGCCAAATATTCTATTTTACTACCGGAGAAAAGTAAGTATCTTGGTGACTGATTTTTGTGATTTAAAATATTTTCTTAAAATATAATCTTAATATTTTATTAAAAAATGCATATAACTGTTATTTTAACCTCTAAATTTTATCTTTAAAAGATTCTATTTCAAGTAATGTTGTATAAAGAATCCGTCAATGTGATTCTAAATTCGAATTTTCAGCAACTTAAGGGATACTTTTGTTATCAAGGAGAAAATTTTATTTTTTCATTGAAATTTATTGCATACTCTTAATATACATTTATTTTATTGTTAAATTCATTTTATTGTTTCATGTATATATGTATATATATATAATAGCAGAACATATATAAACTTTTCAGTTTAGCTTGAGTTTTTAATTCTCAAGCTAACCTGAAAAGTTTAGCTTGTTTTTAATTAATTTTAATTTAATTGTTTTTAACTAGAGTTTTTAATTCTGAAAATATCCTTTAAAATTGCATTATTGCATAAAATCAAATATTATATTGAAACAAATATATTAAACTAAAACAAAATATAAAATAAACCAAAACAATGTTTTCTTCGTTACAATATTTTTTCATGGATGTCAAAATATATAAAGCAACTCAATACCTATTCTAATTTATTTAAAGTTTGAAGGAAATGTTATATGCTAAAATAACAAAACAAAACAAAAAATTTATTAAATCATGAACATTTCTTTTTTTTTTCTTCCTGCATTGAATGTAATAAAAATGATGCAAAGTTGAAGAAATAATAAAAAATAAATACCTCAGAAACTTTAAAATGCCTCTAAATTTTAAGAAGAATGCCTTAACTTTCTTTTTAATTAAAAAAAAGGAAAAGAAACGCTTTTAGAAAAGAAAAAAAAATGTGGATTTCATGAAAATCCAGGCCTTAGTCATAATCCAAACATAAACTATAAGGAATATGAAAATTACGTTGTTTAATGAGACCGATAAATATTGGGTTTCTAGGGTAATTGTGGTTCAAATTTTTGTTTGGAAATAAATTCTTGTTAGTTTCTTATTTTTAATTTTATTTTAGATCTGAAATATTTTGTCAAGATATTTTGAAAGAGTTTGACATGGCTTTGAGTTGCAATTCTAACATTGACACTTTAGTTCATTTGTCTGATGATGATGTTTTCAAAATAATTGTCATGTCATTAATGTGTGTATCAAAGCTCCAAGAAAAAGGTTTGTTTTATTAAAACATTTGTATTAATTTCTTTAAAAAAATAATCAACAAGACATGCATTATGATTTTTACATGAGTCTTATGAAACCAAATATTTTAACTGCATTGCATTTCTGTATTTGTATGCATATGCAGTCAAGTCTTGATATCAAACTTGAAGGAAGACACTAAAAATCTCATAGTATTGAAAATTAGAGATATTGGAAATAAAATATTGTTATGTATTGAATATTTTTAACAATTTAACCAATGTATCTGTACTGACAATTTTAAAATTGTATTTGCACTCGTCCCCTCTTAGTCGCATGTTGTATAATTAAATAACCTAATTATAAAAATAAAATTTAGTAGAATCAAATAATTTTATATGAGACCAATTTTAAATTTCCTCGCTAATATTATTATTTATGGTAGCCAGTCTTCACTTAATTGCATAAAGTAGAGAGAAATAAGATTTTTGGTTTTATTTATTCATATTTAAGAAATGTTTTACCAGCTAGAATGGAATTTCCGTTAGGAAGAGAATACAATTGGTCACTTCCATGGGGACTTCCTATCCGAGCGGTTCCCAATTTTTTTCCAGAATGGAACCTTAAATGATCAACTTTCTTCCTCTGGAACCCCTGCTTTCAAGAAATATATCTACATAATGACAATTTTGAATGTATTGACCAATAAAACACTTTATGTTGAGAATATTTAATAAGAAGAGTGAAATTTTTTCAACCATTGATAAATTAAGTTTATAATCTTAAATTAGTTTAATAATCTTACGTTAGATATTTGAAGAATAAGTATCTCGCAGTATATTTGAAGAATTAAAATGGTTCTAAAATGGCTGTTCCCATTTAGTTTCATGTGTTCTGATTTTGAATATTAGAAAAAAGTTATATTTCACTTTTATCAGGACTACTGAACATAAAATTAAATAATATTTTAACTTTTCAAAGCACTCTCTTATAGAATTTGATTTTAAATATTACTTGCCATTTTCGTTTTTTGAAAGTGTTATTTTATTATTAGAGATAAAAATTCTAAATTTGTTTTATTAACTAGTTTTATCAGGATTAATCTGGATTTATAATTATCATTCAATAATTTAGCTATTTTTCCAATTAATATGAAGATTATTTTTTTCTTTTTGTAAGCACATTAATTTTTCAAATTTGTTACTAAATGTTGTGACAATTTTAGGTCAGTCAGATGCTTCAGTAGCAACAGCTTTTTGTCTAGCTTTGTTTTCTCATGTTGTCGATTACGCTACCCGACGATTGCTGTGTTCATTATTGACTCTAAAAGAAGTTTGTGGTGAACAGGAATGCAAAATTGGTATTTGTTTTGATATTAATATCAATCATTGTTATAATCATATCTTCAAATTTTACTAACTGCTTTGCTTTTTTTTTATGTACAGAAAATGGTAGTTCAGTAAAAAGTATTTCATCTAAGGACCAACTGAGTGATACAAGCTTAGACAGTGATGCAAATAAAGATAACATTGCTAAGGTACTTCTTTTCTGTTTAAATTCATTATAGTATTTATAATTTAGGTCTATTATAAAGTAATTTAAAGAGAAAATTTCTAGTTTTAAGTTATTAAAAATTGGGTCTTAGATTAGTCAAATGTTTGATAGTTTCACAATATGTAATTACCTTATTCCATCATTATTCACAATCAATATAAAATCAAACTATTTTATATTAGTTAATAATGCAATTATGTTACATAAATAAATTTTTTTATGGCTCATCATTAAAAAGGCTTTTTGTGATGAACAAGTGAAAATAAAATAAATTATGAGCTTGCCTTAACTTTGGAAGTTTTTATTTTAGCTCTCAACTTTGATAAATATGAATTAAAAATATTGATCACTAGTGTTCCATTTAAGGCATGCATTGTAGACTTAAATATAATTTATTATTAATAATTTCTATTTTCAAGTCATTTAAAAAGTTGTAAATGACATTATTATATGCTTGTCCCTAATTTATTACTTGAAATGCTCTATTTGTAGGAATCAGAAAATTGAACAAAAAAAGGACAAAATTTTTTACTATTTTCTTGAATCATTTCTTAACTTTTTTTTCTCTATATTCTTCACACTTTTGAGAATATAGAAAACACTTCCATTAATTGTTCTTATTTAAATACCTATGTTTCAAAGAGCAATGTCAAATCTGAAATTCACTTATTAACTCTTATAATTATTATGCACTGTTCTGAAAAATTACTAAGTTGAATGGATAATTATATATTTTTAAACATGGAGAATTAATCAGTTATTTTATTGGTATGATTCACAATTGTCTAATAATGGCCCATGCCTTGCAATTTGTAAAATTTATTAATTTATTTTAAAGAGTCATGTTATCATTATGTGTATACATTGTATTTCATACAATGTATACTTCTGATTATTCAAGTTTAAATCTCCTTGTATGCAGATTGTCCACACTTTGAATTTATTTAGAAATATAATTTAAAGTAAAATTATTGTTTCACAATAGTTTAAAATATTATATATAACTAAAATTAAGTTGTATTTGATATTAAAGTTATAATGTAACAAATGGTATTTTCTCATTCCATTGGATTACTATATCGTAATGCAATACAAACATTTATACAATAGATATCGCAGCTAAGGGACAATACTGCATTAATATTATAACTAAATTCTTATCAACTGCTTTTGTTAAATAACCATGCTTGGAGTTACCAGACTTTAAAACTACTATTTTCTTATTTTAGAAAAATCTTGGAAAAAAGATAGGATTGAAAAGGTTTACAGCACGTCGTTTAAGAACATTACGTCGCCGTAGGAAAATCAGTAGCACCAGCCAAGAAGACTCTGAATTAAGTGATGGTATGTTTTTAATTAACTTATCTTTTTCTTTATATACATACTCTTTTTGTATGAGGCATTTTGGCTAGCCTTTTATATATTTTTTATGTTTAATGATACAATGATATATTTTGGCTAGGCTTTTATATATTTTTTAATGCTTAATGAGAGAGATACATTTATATGGTTTAAATTTTTTACCTCAAGTTACTGTATCTTGATATTATCTATCATACATATGAATCTATAATGCATTAAAACCTTTTAAAACTTTCAATTAGATAAGTTTCATGATGGTGTCTATGTCATAGATACAGAGATCCCCCTGCTGAATAGTCATATTCTTGACACCAGATTTCACATTCGAAACAGGATTGCACAGAGCTCATTCTAGGCAGGGTAAACAGGGCGCAGCACCCTGCTGCCCTTTTAGTCAAAAGAATCCACCCTGTTGCCTCCCCTGAAGTAAATTAGTGCCCTGATATACAAGACTCCATAACCTTTTTGCCCTTTCTTTCTTCAACCCTTCTTTGTTTTTTCCCCAAACTCTACTATGGATTTCTTAAACTTTTGTTACTTTCAACTCTTTTTATTTAGTTTGTCATTGCTGTCAATACGTAGGAATACATTTATATGGGAAAGGAAAAATAGCCATCACACCCCTTGCTGCACTTGTCATTGAAAGTTTGCAGTTACTTCCACTACCATTAAATCATAATTATTAATCATTTTAATTATTAAATCATAACTACAGAAACTTAAAAACATACATTTATTATTTTATTAATATATGCATGCATTTTAAATAAATTACTAAGCTACTAAATAAATTACTACCCATTAACTCAATATATATGTTAATTTATTAATAAAAATTAATAATTAATGATTGCTTTGCTACTTTTAGTAAAGTAAAGAAAAAAAATTCTTTTACTAATTGACAATATTTTTTAATAGAACGTGTAAAGCCCATAGAAAGAAATTATTGCCTTTTTAGAATAATAATGCCCTTTTTTTAAACTTTTGCACCCTACCCTTTTTTCTGCCTAGAATGAGCTCTGGATTGCATACTTACATAATTTTGCTGAACTGATTCTATTTATTTTAATCTTCTTTATGATTTGTTTAGTTCGACACTTTTTTTAAGCACTCTAATGAAGGTAGAATATTGTAATAAATTAGAATTAATATTGTAGTTGTTATCTTAATTTGCATCAGAATATTTTTTTTTGAAGGGGAAATGACTGATCTTCCTGAATCTGACGAAGAAAGTGGACTAATGAATTCGGATATTAGTCAAGCTGGTAGTTGCAGTAGTGAAAGCCTGAGTGAAAATGAGGATGATTTACTTGTAGAAGAAGAGGAGGAGGAAGAAGAAAATAGCTTTTGCATTGATGGGTGAGTAGCATAACTATATATGTATATAAAAATCTAATTATTATTACGATAGATTCCTATATAAAATATTTTAAATAGATTCCTGTGCAAGAAGTAATAAAATTTAGTTTTCTTATTAAGTAATCAGCCTAAGTTGCTATATAACATTCCCAGAATTTCTAACTCTAGTTACAATATCCAATATGGGCAAAAAAAGATTAAGTTTAAAGAAGAAAAAAAAATTAAAAATCAACTTTAGGTAATAAAGATTTTTTATTTGTAACAGGTTAATCAAGGTTCTACTATAATTATTGTTTATTATTACAATTATGTATCTTTATGAATTTGTACATTTTGTGTTTATTATGTTTCAGTTTAAAGTTTTACCATACCTGCTGAAAAAGTAATTTAAATATTTTATTGTATAATGTGTGCAAAAGATTCCTTTAATGGGACAATATATATATATATATACAGGGTGATTCTAAAAAGATGGGCAAAATTTTAGGAAGTGATAGTACACACCCAAGCAAACAATTTTTATCAAGGAATGCATGGTCGAAAACAAAACGCAAAGGTGCTGGCCCATTTGGATAGTTGTGTGATGCAAACATGAAAGCTCCATTCCTGCTCCATTGCTTGTCGCCAAGCTTTTGGCCGCTGCAGGGAAAGTTCGTGATATCCATGGTGTGTTTCAGAATGTTCGCCTATCTTTTCTTCGCCGTTGTACTGTGTGCATAGCCACTGCCGGCCACTGTTTTGAACACTTATTGTAATCACATGCCATTAAATTTGCGTTTATAACTTAACTTCATTGTTCTTTGTGTAGTTTTGCCTCATATAAGAACATAAACTTTGACGCCCTCAAACAATTTTGCGTTTTGTTTTCAACCTTGCATTCTTTGATAAAAATTGTTTGGTATTATTGGTATTGATTGTTTGGTAAGTATTTGAAAATTGTTTGAACAACCTGAATGGAGATTGAAATGCATGCTTTTTCCCATAAATTGTAAAGTGATATGCATTTGATTTCAATTTTTATATTAAAAATGTATTATTTAAGAAATAAAAACAATAATTAAAGCTAAACAACAATTCAATGAATCTAGTGGCATAGTTATTTTAATCAATAAATACGTTTAAACAATAGAAAAAAATCATTTTGGTATGGATATCTTTAGATATTTTCAAATACTTATGTATGTGTTACTTTGAACGTTTTCATTGTTATTTGATGTTGCTATTATACAATTTTTTAAAAGAAAATATCTAAGTCATCTAAAAGAACTTAAATTTTACTACATTGTAAATTATTTAAATTTTAAGTTCTGGAAATAAATCTGAAATTATTTTCTGTACTTGTTAAAAACATATTTTACAATCTTTTGAATCAAGAAACCTCACTCTTAAAGGAAGCAGTTGTATTATGCATTGATAACTTACATATTCTGTTATTATTTCACATCTTCATACAAAAGTTTTAAAAATAGTTTAATATAAATGTCAAGTTTGAGTTGAGTCTATATTAATTTAAAATAAGTCTACATCAGCTTAATCAATTATCTGAAAAGAAAACCTTAGGGTTATTTCATTGTATTGTCTTTATAACTTTTTTTTTTTTTTTTCATTTCAAAATTACACTTAAAGCTTTTAGAAATTAATCCTGTTAAGAACTGAATAAATTTTTCAGTTATGAGAAATTATGTAGTCTGTTTTTTCTCCCTCTCTTTTTTTCATCTTTAAATTCGTAGTGGTTTTACTTAATTCTCAGTTGAGAAAAATTAATATTAAATTAAAAACAATTATATTTTTTATGAAATGTTTTTAAAAGTAAAGTATGCTTCTTAGTTCAAATATTTTTGTGAAAACTAATGAATTAAAAGTGATGATAATTTTTTTTTCTTCCTAAAAGAGAACTTATTAGGGAGAATGATACCAATTTAGAAAATAATTACAATTTAAAAAATGGATGTTCTGAGACTCTTAATGGATCTGAAGCAAAAGATGATGCACTGATGAAGAAAAATTATGTCAACAATGTTTATAAGTAAGTGACATATTTCACCATTTTATTTTTATCTTATATGGCTAGTTCCAAGGTTTTTTTTTTTTTTTTTTTTTTTTTTTTTTAAATTTATTTCAAGGAAACCATTGTAATGATTGTCACTTTGTAAAGATAATCTGTTCATCTATTTCTTAGTTTTTTTTTCTATTATACTATTCTGGGGGAAAAAGTTTTTAAAAATCTATCCAAGTTAACTATTACATTCACATAGCTTCCACCACTTCTGAATTTATGCCCCATTTTCTGCACTGAGCTTCAATTCTTCTAGATTTCGTTAATATACATTAATATTTTGTACTTTCTTGGAACTACTTATTTAAGCATCTATGTGTGTGATAATGAGTTCTCATGCCTTGCTCAGACAATGACGCCTTTAAATGTTGCTCTGCTACAGTCTTGTTATAGGTCATTATTTATATAAAATATAAGACGGCAAGCATCTGATAGTGCAAAAAATGGGATGCTGTTTTTATTCGATTTTGGAAAAAACAAAACAGTACAAAAAAAAAGTTTGCATATATTGAAACGTCCAATTAGTTTAAAGAGAACAGTTGTATAACATGTATCTTCATTATTTTAAAAATTTAGTAATCTATTTACATTATGCCTTCAAAACTGAACTTCTTAAAAACTCACATCCATGTAGTTTTGAAATGTGATGCTCTTGTTGCTGATAATAGGCTTAAGGAAATATTACAACAATTCACACTTTTATTTTTCTTTATACGTTGAAATTCTAAAAAAAGAAGAAAAAAACTTTGTTTTAACTGTAAATTATAGTATAATGGTTGTTTCAAACCTGTGTAATTCGAGAGCTAAAATCTCAAATTGCTCTTGCTAAGCACTTTAAAAGATTCCATTTGCATTGATATTGTTGCAATGTACTGTTTATAGTCTCAGTTCAAAATGCTTATAACTGCTGTTCAGCCTATAAAATACATTCCATGATTCAGTGCCCATACAGTCAGTGATTCAGCAATTCAGAATAAGCGATATGATTTTCTGATGTCTGGAGTTTTGTTACTCTATTTCAATGCCAGACCTTGTTCAGCGATTCTTTCCCAAAATATGATCAGATGTTTTGGAGGAGAAGAAATTGACCACCTGCTCTACAGTCCACAGTTCTTTCAGCAGCGAAGAATTTTTCAGCAGCGAGCACTTAGTCACATGAAGAGTGGTAAAAGAAGACCTCAAAGACAATAGAATTCTATGGCTTAGGCATACAAAAGCTGTTAAAAAAAAAGAACATTCTGACAAATGTTTAAGCAACTGGGAAAATATATAATGATTTTTTTTTTAAATCGTTTTTTTCTTCTTTCCTTTAAATTTTTTTTCTTCTTTTTATGATATCAGACCTTCTGAATAAATTTAGTAACATTATGGTAATATTATATTAATCCCATTCAAAAGAACTTTTCAAACATTGCACATTCATTTCAGGAGAGAACTGTTTTGAGATAAGTTTATAAGTTTTAACTATCTTATGTAAAATTATCAAAAGAAATGAATATGTCGAACCGTGTTAGAAAACATATGTTTCTTTAAGTCATCACTTTCTTGCTTGATTTAATATGTATGCGCAATCATTATATTCATTACAATCTCTTTAGATAAATAGACAGATATAATATAAAACAATTATTGTAGTTTTTCTTATTAACATTAAAACAATATTATTTCAAAATTAATTTTATATATTTGCTTGAATATAGAAACTGAAAGTGACTTCATTAAGAAATTCCGTCCACACACCTTCCATTACAGAGATCCTTCCATTTTAATAACTGATAGATAAAGACCAATTTGTTAATTTGAAAACACTCTGTTATTTTAACACCCATTTAAAATGCCCTCAGTTAATCATTTATTCCAATTTATTGATGAATATTTAGTTTCATTTTTTCTTTAATCTCTTTAAAATCACTTTGTAAATAAGTGTCAAACATTTTTGGATTTTCAAAATGAAATGCATCTATTGACATTAAGTCATTTAATTTTGCAAAAGTTTTAAAAAAAATCATTAAAACAGCTATTTCTTATGATGCTACTGCAAATTATATGTGTAATAGCTTGAATTACATTTGAATAAACAAAGTGTTAGATTACGTCATCAAGTTATTCTTATCATAAGAGATTGTGATCTATGGTAAGAAAAGAAAAGTAGTGAAGTAAACATAACTTCACATAAATTATCAAATCAGTACTTTGCATCTTTAGGCCAAAATGGGTATGACGTCTATGGACATTCATTTGAGTTACAAAATTGCATTTACAAAGTGTGTAAATTCCTATTCAAAGGCTTCAATAAATATCTCGGTCATGCTTTTTAGGTTTAACGTATATATTTACTCTTTTAATGAAATGTTAGTTATTTAAACGTATTTAACTTAAAAATAGCTACACGCAACCAGATTTTCATTTTAAATGCAATTTTCATCTTAGTGTTGTTTCATTAGTACTTTTAAGTATTAAAAAAAAAGAAGAAGAAAAAAAACAGTTGTGCTATGATTAGTTATCTTGTTAGTATTCTTATTTTAAGTCTAGCATTGTTTTGTTCAAATTCACCATTTTTTTCTTTCTTGCAAGCAAATATTTATGGTATTTTTGTGTGCTTACAATACCATGATTTCACATTAAATAAACCATTTTCATCTGAGACTAATATTTAGTGTTGTTAGTACCATTTGTGGAAATTTACATGAATATAATTTATTGCTAGCAAAATCAGCTTGCAATTAATATATGCGTTTCTATTTGCAGCTTTAAAAATTATAAAATTCTTTCAAAAATCTTACATAAGTAGAACTGCTTACACCTACAGCGATTCTATAGTTTATATGTACTACAGACACATTTTACTGTGCTATGCTGTAAAAAGTTAGGGAACCGGCCTTTTTCATTTTTGGAATTTCAGATCAATATCCTAGGAAGCGTGCTATTTTACTTTAAGACATATGAAGAACCTTTTTTAAAACCTTCAGTATTTTATACAATATTTAATTTATATATTGAGTAAATAATGTATTGTCTTGAAAGTAAGATAATGGGAATAGTTATAACTTGTCGTAAATTTTATATGATTTATAAAATTTCCATTGGTTTGTCTTTCTGTAATAAGATATGCAACTGAAAGCTCTTGTACAATGCTGGCAGATTTTTTAATAGTATAATATGCTAACTTTACACTATTTGAACAACCCCAAAGTTATGGTTTGCTAAAAAAAAAGATGTTCATCCGAAAGAAATATATAGATGTTTGAGGATATTGAGTTTGTACGTAAACCAACAATTATCAGTATTTTAAGGGTGAAAATGTAAATTTTACAGTTGAATTCAAAAGTAATTCCGTCATCAATGTTTGTTTTGTTCTGTATTTATTTATATTGATATTATTATTCAAGTTAAGTAAGGCTAGTAAAAAAAAAGAAAAAAACATGTACATACATGGTATCTGCGCACCTGGAAAGTCATGAATTTCAGTATTGAACAAAATTTGTCATGAAATGTCATGGTTTTTAGTATTTGTTTAAAAAAAATCATGAAAAGTCCTGGATTAAGGTCGTAGAAAAATCTAATTTTTAAAATGGAATCCCCCCCCCCTCAATTTCATCCTGTTTCAAATATCTGAATTCCTAACAAAATCACTACTCACAGTCATATTTTATTAGAATATAAAATGTCTTTATCATGTTCTTTAAAAATTATGGTGTTCTTTCAAAAAATGAAAGAAAAAACATCTTTTCTAGAGCGAATTGTCTTTTAAACTTCTGTGATTTAAGAATTTTTATTATTTATTTATTTTTTTATCAATTTAAATTTCAACCGAGCCAATCATTGGCAATTTTTTCTATTTCGAAATGAGAACAGACAAATAAACCCCGTGGCAGAATTGCGGCGACATTGTCGCAGAACTTAACAGAGTTCTTGCAGAAAGATTTTTCTTTAGAGAAGTAAAAAATTTTGGTTTGTTTTTCATCAGAAATTTCCACGCAATATTCAAATCGCGCATTTAAATAATCACTTTTTGAAGCCCTCAGTTAATTCCGTTATTGTTAATCCATTTTGATTGTATTTTCATCAGTTATTGCCATTGATTTTCACGTGGCGTTTAGATGTCCGGATGTATTTCAGGTAGGTGATATGGGAAATTCGAATTGCGCATTTGATCATTTACTTAAGTCATTCATTTTATCAATTTTTTGGGCACTTATTGCTTTTGATTTCCACATTGTTCTTAAAACCCGATATTTTTCATACGGTGTTATTTTCTACAACAATCAAATCTGAAAGTGAAACATTGCATTTGATTAACACCTTTCTGAAGAGTCCGATTCACGTGATTTCATCGTCGATCTGTTTTTCGTTTATTACTGCTACAGATTTCATTATGTTGAATTATTTTTTTAATGTGATGATGATTTGCAAAATGCGATAAAGGAAATAATTAGTGCGCCCTCCAACAATATCCGAGAATATTGCCCATATATTGTTTTTTTTTTGTTTTTGTAAACAGCGTTTTAATTACCTTTAATTAGTAACATTCATCTTTGGTATTATTCAATGTACATTGCAGAAAGATAGTAGTGCTAGAGAGTTTTGTCGCAGTAAGCCCGAAAGAATTCTGCCACTGGGCAAATAAGGAGTATTTCTTCCCTTTCTGATGAACAAGAAAAGTATCTTTAGAATTGAATTCTGTAAAAAAAAAAAAGAAGAAAAAAATTGCTTTTGTATTTTTTTCCCAGCTATTTTATTGCTTCAACTCTTTCTTTACTTTGTTTTTTAAATTTAAAATCTGCAAATATGAAGATGCAGACTATAGCAGTTTTGGTTATAATTATCATTTCAATGAATGTTATTATAATGCTTTTTTAAATTTATTGTTACGTTTTTGTCGGAGAAAATAGTAACTTCTTTAAGTCATGGAAAATTCTTAGAATGAGTCATGGAAAATCATGAATTTGAAAATCTAAAATGTAGCAGATACCCTGTACATAAAATGATATAAAGTTGTATGTATTTATAATTTTAAATTGATTTTAATAATGCTGAATTTTAAATAATTTTTAATTGATTTTCTTTTAGCATCCTTGATGACCCATTAGTTCCACCTGAGAAATTAATTGAAATTCTTAAAAGAAATAACCTTTTCCCGTGCATCAAAGTGCTGTCTGACTGGCTTAGAATAAATGAAGATATTCTATCAGCATGTGCTGAAGTAAGTATTTGCTTTACATTTTTCTATTTTCATTAAATTTATGACATAATTAAAATTTATTGATATTAATTAGATATGCTCTTAAAAATATTGATAAGATAAGCATTGTCAATTGTCAAAATCTTAAATCAGGTGAATGATGTTAAGAAATCTGTTTAAAATTTTAACCATTTAATATTATGAATGTAATTTATAATAATGCAAATATTTTTAATATTTTATACAAAACTTGAGTTACTGCAAAAAGTAATCTGGTAAATAATCTTGTAAGTAACTCTGGCATGAAAAATAGATAATTTACACATTGATGAGTCATAAAGTTAATGAATTATGTGTAAAATAAATTTCAAACTGTTGACTCTGTAATAAAATCTAAATTAGCAGAGCACAATTACATAGCTCTCAACTTTTATTCTTTTTGTTGGAAATTTTATCCAATAGTTTTGAAGCAACAATTAATATTTTGTGTTTTTTTTAATTTATTTATTTTTGTAAATTTGTTTAAAGGTTTTAAAATAGCATCTTGAAAACTTCACCTTAATGTCTATTTTAAAAACATCACCTCATGATTTACAAACCTCTTTTTAAACTAATTTTATTAAATTAAATATTAAAGCATGAATTTTGTTATGACTGCAAAAACTTTTTAGGAAAAGGTATAAAAGCATGTAGAATTTTTACTAGGTATAAATTTTTTATTTATTTATTGTTATAATGCTAGCTTTATAAACTAAACTAACTGTATTATTATTTTATTTTAAATTTCTAACTCTTAAAACATTAACCCTTTAAAGAGGATGTAGTTAAAATTATTTTTCATAAAATATTTTTTGCATTAAATACATTCACTTTAACTTTATAATTTTTTTCACATTATTTCAAGTAACGTTTGAGAAAGAATTAAAGCATATAAACATTCAAATAATTATTAGTAAAAAGTTTTATTGCATTTACGTTTTTGCTCTTATTTATTATCTAAAAATACTGGATGTTTTTTAATGATGGTATCTTATCTTTATCTTGATTTTATCTTTGTGAGTTTGAAATTTTATATAATTTTTTGTAAAATTTGTGTATTTTCTAGAGTTCAAATTTCCTTTTGCTTCGATGGATCGAGTTGTTGAATATGTTAATAAAAGTAGAAGCTAAACTTAAATCACATAAAGGTTTGTAATTATTTTGTAAATTCTTTTTTAATACTTAACTCTCCATTTACATGAGGCCTAACATAAGGCGCATGACACCATAAGAGGAACGAAAACAACCCAATTTTTTTTACCTCCGATTTACCGAGCCCGAAAGCAATGTCGAGCGAAAATAACTCTGAGTCAGGTTGGGTTTCATAGGGGCGTAATGATTGGCTCCTTGAGTCTCTTGATTATTTTTTGCCTACCCTTGTAAAGTAGGGTTCTTAGCTTCAGAAATGAGGTAAATTGAAAAGCTTTCTTTCAAATAAGTGAGAAAATTGCTTTCGTGTGCTAGTTTTCAGTCTTCAAGTAAAAGGATGTAAGATCTATTCCTCATTCTACTTGCCATTACAGGGGTCTGTTTATGCCAAATTTACTACCTTTTAGCGGTACCTTCACAAATTAAACTTTAGGAAACACGGTAGTTTCACAAAATACTTTTTCTTGAGATGTTATTTTTTATCCCGTAAGAAAGGATAAATCCATATTTTTGAGTTGATTTTTTTTTTATATAGTTTTTAATTTTCACAAATTAGGTCTAAATTTTCACAAAATATGTACCTCTCAGAAAAACCTAGACAGACCCCTGCATTATGCATGACTGTTTCTTGTTTTTCTATGTTTTACTTTGAAAAACATATACTATTCCATGATTGTTTCTGATAATATTACTACTAAGTTAAAAACTGCTGCTCTTTTTGATATAAATAATAATATTTATCCCACAAATAGTGCTTATGTCATTGGTTAAGCATAAGTTGTTAGAGTACTTGAGATTATATTGAAAAAATTATCAACTAATATATATCATGTATAGTAAACAATGTGAGTTTAACCAATAGATTGAAATATCTTAACAAAAAATAATTTTTCAAGAACTTAAATGCAAAACTTAATGTTCTGCATGCCCTAACCTTTTCTTCCCCACTTTTTGAAAAAGGGCAGCATTATGTCTGATATTTTACACTCTCCAAAATACAAAAATGAAATTATTGTTTGAACAATTATTATTTTTTATAGAAAAAGGTGTTTTTATTACATAATTTTTTTTTAATAGTTTAAGTTTTAAATTGTGCAGCAAAATAAATGCAATTTTATGTTGATTCCAAAAAAAAAGCATTGACTTTCTTTTAAATTTATTTTTATCATTATCAGGGGCCACGCATAGCATTCGCTAGATGCGATAAAACTTAGATTTGGCGAATAAAAATGTGTTTTGCCAAATGACTTTTTCTACTGGAAAGAAAAATGTATATTGAAAATTGTTAAGATTTGCATTTCACGAAGGCTTTTGATAATTTTCAAATACTTTTGATATTTGGCTAATTTAGTAGAATAATTTAAATCCTTCGTGTCGGGCCTTATTATGTAATGTTTGCAAACTTTTCACTTACGCACTGACTTCAAGGACCACTTAAAAGAAAGAAAAAAAGTATAAGGAAAAAAAGTTCTGTAACAGTGAATTTTGAAATGGTTTGGTAACATTTTTGTAATTAAAACATTATTGTTAAATTTGTAATCAGGGATATTTTAATAGAGCATAATTTAATTTATTTTTTTCATTTTAAAGTATAACAAAGCATATGTATTCAGTAGGTTTTAAAAGACAATATTCCTCATTCTTAGAAATAGTTTTTAAAAAATGTTTTCCTAAAATCTGAGCAAAAGAAAAAGAATAAGAAAGATCTATTACACTGGATCAAGCAACAAGTTCCTTTTAATACAAGATGAAAAATATTTGATTGTTTTTTTTTTTTTTTAGACATCTGTTATGAAAATTCTGAAAATATAGCTGGCCAAAAATTACTTTTTATAAAATAATGTAATTACCAGTATTTCTCAGAAATCTTTATTCAACCCTTGACATTAACAATATCAAAACTTCATCTAGAAAGTATGACACAAAGATTCACGCAATAGGGCTATATTTAAGATTGGAATTTTTACATAGACATTTTTTTTTCTCGTCATAATGCCTCAAAAGACGACAAGTAACTTTTGACATTTAGAATATTTTATCAGGTGTTAATAATAAGTTATTATAGATACGAGGGATTAGTGCAAATGAAATCTTTTCTAAGCACATTTTTATAACTATTGTGACTGGTGTGTTAATTTCAAGTGAGAGAATACGAATTATCTTTGAGTATAACGCATTAATATTTATAGTCACACTCCATATTTAAAAAATTGTTAAGAGTTATCGTTGCTGTTTCGGATGTTCAAAGGGTCATTTTGTTTTGCTGCGCAAGAACTGTAGAAACTTTGTAACNGAATAGGTGATAGATTAAAGATCTTACTTTTATTGGAAACGCTACCTCCCGACTTTAGAGCAGTTAATTCTTTTGGAAACTCTTGCTCCTGCAAGCAGCGAATTAGATAGGTTTCAGCATTGGACAATTCTTCTACCTTCAGAGGACCAAGAATCCTTTTCTCTGGATTTCTCAAGTTATGAATGTACCTGAAAAGATAACTACAAATTCGAACTATAGTTAAAAATCTATTGCTACGATTAATCAGATTATCAAAAAAGGTTTTGTCATGATTTAAAGTCAAGACTGTAGTTTCTACTGAGTTTTTGGATTTTAGTTCTGATAAATATTCTTCTTCATTTGGCACTGGACAGTCAAATTCACTCACGAGTTCATCGGACAACAAAAATGAAGGACCATGACACCACTTTTTGCTGTGTAGAAGCGACTCTGCACTGAGACCTCTTGTCAACAAGTCTGCGGGATTTTCCTTTCCGGCGCAGTGAAACCAAGTATTAGGATCAGTGAGCTTAGTGATTTCTCGAACACGATTAGCGACAAATTGTTTCCATTTTTTCTGAGATCTCCTAATCCAAAACAAAACTACTTTTGAATCGGTCCAATGAAACACTGTGCACTGTCTTTTCTGATTGATGATTTTCAGCACTTTGGAACTCAGACGTGCAGCTACTAAGGCTCCTGGAAGCTCAAGTCGAGGCAAAGTAACTCCTTTTAGTGGTGCAACTCTGCTTTTTGAAGTAACGAAATTTACATACACTTTGTCTTGTATTTTAAGTTTCACATAAATGGTAGCTCCGTATGCAAGTTTCGAGGAATCACAAAAGACGTGCATATCTACGATGTCACTATTACTGTTAGAATCTAGCACAAGTCTTGGAAATCTAAGTTCTCCCAGGAGCGGTAACTCTTTACACCAATTTTTCCAACTTTCCATAATGCTGGGAGGGAGATTCTCATCCCACGAAACTTTCTTTTCCCAAAGTTTTTGAATAAGGCATTTCATCCGTATTGTGAAGGGAGTAAGTAATCCCATTGGATCAAAAATCTTTCCGATGGTCTGCAGAAGAAATCTTTTGGTATTTCGGCAGTTTGAAACGAATTCTAAAATACCTTTTGTGTCTAATATCAAGCAGTTTCAATCCTCCTCCCCAGAAATCTTTGCAAAGTGTAAGTGGGAGGTTATTTTTTTTAAAAAACAATTCAATAATGAATAAGATTTGTTATAATTTTCCTGTGACATACTTTGAGATTACTGAAAATCATTGCATACAAAACTGAGAGAGAAAAGATGGTTTGTAAGTTAATACTGAAGTTTCATTTTTTTAAAAGTAAATATATATAATTAAAAATTTAATTCGATGTATTTAATCTTTAAATTTGTTCTGATAATTTGTATTTAATTAATTTTTAACATGTGTGTTTTTTTATGCAATAATTGTATTTTTTTTTTTTTAAATATTTTGTATTTTATTTAGACATATCTAATTTTTCTTCATACCATGAAAACTGGCAACAAGTTTATCCTCTTCCAGAAGATATTTCCTTGCAAGGATTTTCATTATTGAAGGAGATTCATACCTTGTTACATTTTGACATTTCTAGTCGAAGAAAATCATCATCAGTAGTACAGGTAAATTTTTTATGTCAATAGTATAGCTTTTATACATGAAATATACTTTTAAATCTTTGCGCTTTTCAGTACTCTGTTTTAAAGTACTTTTTTGGCACTGCAATCCTGTTATTTTTAAGTTACATAATAAATAAATGCTACTTGATATTTAAAATTTTCATTTGTTAACAAATAAAAATTTTGTGTAATTGAACAAAAGGAAAGAGTAAAAGAGTTTCATCTCACGAATGAAGTATTTTACTACTATTATTAATTGTTATTCCGTTTTAGAAACATAAATTGTGATTTTAAATATATATTATATATACATATATATATATAATATATATATATACAGTGTTTTCATTATAGAAAAAAAAATGGGAGAGAATTTCTCACCCTTTCTCAAAAACAGGGTGAGATTTCAAAAAGTTAAGCGAGATTTCTAAAAAATCAAAAAAAACACGAATAGACTTGGAAAAAAATTATTTCTTTAATTATTTTTAACATCTTCTAATTGAATATTTTTGCTTCAACATCAAATGAAAAATGTTCTATATCTACTTTTTCATCAGCTATTATATTTATTTGGCTGAAAAATATCCGTATTTGTTTCGTTTTGACCGTTTCTACCTACATTTGTTTCATTTTCATTTGTCCGTTACGGAGTAGAAGATGTCGCCTAAACAAGGTATTTGTCCATCTTACATTTATGCACAAAAAATGTAAACGTGTTACATGAAGAAACCTTACCTATGGTGAACACGTGGTTGCAGAGAAATGTGTTCTGAAAGGGGTTCCGTGGTTCGGGGGGTTGTTCCGCTGTTCGCACCGGTTCTGAACAATACTGGTAAATAGGGAAGCTAGATAACAAGGACGGATGTTCAAAATAATGAAAGATCAAGGAAGAAAAGTGAAACGGATTTTATTCAAAATGGCAAAAGACGGAATTTTTTCCAAAATTCGCGCATTTTGAAATTAATTAATAGAGTGCGCGAACTTCTCGCGTTAATAATTTTTATTGCGAGAAACGAAAAAAAATATGCGAGATTCTCGCTTTCTCGCGCTGTAGTGAAAACACTGCATATATGTTCAATTTTATTTTAATCATCAACTTCATACTTAGTTATGAATAGTAATAGGCATCTAATTATTAATGTACTTATTCTTTCTTTCTTTTTTTGTTTGTTTTGCTCTTTGATTGTGTTATTGAAGTTTTATTGAAATATTTTTACAAAATATATGTGCTTTAAAATTAACTATCTTCATACAGATATACATGAGAATACAATGCTTACTATCATTTGGAAAGTGCCTTATTAAAGCTTCTGAATCTTCTGTTGATTTTGATTTAGAAAAAAAGAAATATTACTTTAATTTGTGTAACAAAGCTAAAGAGACAGATAAAGAGGAAATTAGTTTACAAAAATCGGTAAGTATTCCCTCCTTTTTTTTTACTTTTGTAAGATACACTGAACTTCATTTGATATTTTAGAATGAATTTCTGCATAAATTATTTTTAAGTATTATAAATTTCTAGCTTTCTTTTCAGTAACATTTTTTAATATTTTCTAACAAGATTTAAATTAAGTCCATTTAAGTTTAAGGTAAATAACTTCTTTTTGTTGATTTTATATTCTTATTTTCAAAAAAAATTTAACTTAAAATTTTACTTGTCTAGTGTTTAGAAATTTTTTAACACGTAGTGGGTTCTGGAATTACTTATTTCCTGAAAAAATATACATTTAATGCAATTTTTAATGCAATAAATTAATTTAAATGTGTGTAATTTAACTATCTTTTTTTTTCTCTTAAAATATTTAATAATTTTTAGCTTAGCACAGAAGATTTTTTTTAAGATAAATTTCTTTAGTTTACTCTTTTAATTTTCATGAATAGCCACATAAATGAAATATTAGATTAGTTAATAAGCTTTTTTTTTTATTCCAATTCAGTTCTAGCAACATACATACAGGTTTTTTTTCTTTTCTGTGTATTCTGTTGTAACATTTATCACCAAAATTAAAATAAAGAACTCTTGTCAAAAAATTTTCATATTTTTAGGTGAATAAAGATGTAGAAACTAAAAAACAGAAGTTCATGAGGAGTATGGCTCATTTATGGTTAAAGGTATGTATAATTTTCTGCATTGAATACTTGTTTCCAATTCTTGTTCTATCAGGCCAACCATTCTTAAAAAAAGATAGATATTAAAAAATTCTGATTGTTCAGAATTTTGACTTTCTGATAATGAATGCTTACTAGTGTTACAAAATTTTAAAAAAATGTAATTTTCTTTGAAACTTAATGAAACAAAAATTGTGCTCCAGGGAAAAAAACACATTTGTTTTAATACAAGTCTTTCCTTAGTGTAGTTTTCTTGATTTTTGAAAAGAATCTTACAAGCTTTCAAATTCATGGACATTTTACACATTATGTTTGCACACAGATTCAATATTTTTGAAATTTCAAAGAAAATTAAATAGTTTGCAAATCTTAAAATGGTACTTATCTACATCTTGTTAACTTTTTACCAATACTTCCTTTCTAGTTATATATACATAATGTAATATTGCCTTTTTACATGTTGGAAAATAAAAGATGTATATTAAAATGCGTGATTATTATATTCCTTTTTCATGAATTATTGTTGATTGTTGTACATTTTGATCTTAATTTATTTTAAATGTGAAATATATTTTAAATATGTTTATATATATATATATCATCTTTAGGCTGAAGTAAATGATTTGGAAACATTAGTTGAAGGTGGATCTTCTCCCCAACTTTCACCATATTTAGTAGTAGATACTAGTGTCTTATGTTGCAATTTAGTGTCATTAAAACAGCTTGTGTTTTCTAAACGATTCATCATTGTTATTCCACAAATTGGTATGTACTGTTAATACTAGGTGATTCATTTACTGGATCTATTGTGTTTCTTTAAGAATTTGGTCTTAAATTGCAACTTTTTAGTTTTTATCATGTAGCCTTTCTTCTTTTCTTTAAAAAAAAAAGATGTTTTGCACTATCATGTTATTGTTTGGCAATTCATTCCCTGGAAAACTCCGGGGAAATGCTTTGCTAAAAACCTGAAAAATTAAAAATTTCAGGACTATAAAATAATTTTTTAAAGCAAAAATGTCCTAATTTTTGACATAAAAATTAATTTTTAAGTAATTTTTTACCCTCAAAAGTTGTTGATTTTGCTACTCAAATGTGTCATAAGATTAGTAATTTAGATAAGAAAAAAGGTTTTATTGAAATTTTATGAAAATCTATTTACTCTAATGTTTGAATAAATAATTATAAGTTTCAATTATTACCTTTTTTTTAGCCATATATAAAAGTTTATGTCTTTAAAATTCTTGTCATTAGTGATAATAAGTGATTAAAGATAGTCTTTTCTTTTCAATTTCTTAAAAATGTTGGGAATTATTTAAATTTAAGCTTCGAATTTGAATGTGTATACTAATATTGATACAAAATACAGTACAGAACCCGTTATCCGGAAATCAGAAAACCGGAACGAAATTCGATAAATTTTCCGGCTATTTTTAAAAATAATAATTTTTTTTTTCCTCATAAGATTTTAGGATTTTTTATTCTTTTTTGAAAGATGTTTACCTTACCATCATTTTGAAAATAATCATTAGTGTATTACTTCATCATTTTTTCTTCTTTTTAAGATTATTTCCAAATATTGTTTTTTTTAGTTGGGTTTAACAATAAAAAAAATGGCTTTTTGTAGCGATTCAGAAAACCGGAAAAATTAGTTATCCGGAATAGCGATGGTCTCGATCGTTCCGGATAATGGGTTCCCGACTGCATAACTAAACAGTATGTAGGAATGATAATGTTTTTTGTGTTAATAATGATGCATCTAAGTTTGGAATTTACTCTCCTATGATTTTATTTTTGTTTATCGTCTGCCAATATTAATTACATATTTTCTTTATTAATATTGTGTTGTAATGTATATTATTAATTATTTAGAAATCTTCCTTCAAAAGTTTCCATGTAAATCAAAAATAAAGCACTTGAAGTTGACATAGATTTTTAAAAAATCTTGATATTTTTGTATGAAGATTTTTTTTATAATCCGTTACAGTTGATAAAATGTTTAAGAAGTTTTTCTAGTGTAGCCTATTGAAAAATTCACTTTAACTTGACTTGCTTTATTTTTGATTTACATTTTAAGCATTAAAGCCTTTCATTGTATCAATTGTGAAAGTATTTCACAGACTTTATGAATTTCTATATTTTATAGAGAAGCATGTGCTTATAGGCATTGAATCAGAGTCTCTAATTTTTAAATTTTCATGCTTATCTAATGTATTTACTTTTTACAGTAATTGAAAATTTAGATCAGTTGAAGAAAGATAGCATTGGAGCTCGAGAAGCCATTCGTTGGTTAGAATCTGAACTCCGCAAGGGTTGTCGGTTAGTTAAACTATTTAATATTTCTTTCAGGATTAAATTATGATCTAAGAAACACCTCATTATTTATTTTAATAAAATAAATATTCCTGTAACTCTTACTTATAAAATCTAAAGCAATACTGCCTATTAACACTGCCACTTAGACCTCCAGTACTTTACAGTATAGCGCCGATTTACCGGAGTTTCCTATTATCCAGATTGTTCCAAGACCGTGCATTTTCCCAATTTTCTTATTAAAAAATCTCTGAAATGGTTTTTTTATTTTCAGAATATCTAAAAGGGGTCAAAAAATGGCTTCCTTTGCTTCTTGATAACCTTGAAAAAAACATCACAGTCTATCCCCCCAGTTTCAATGTGGGTATCTGATAAGGGTACAAGTTAATAAATATTGAACCTTTTAACAGGGTGCCTAGCCAAATTTTTCAAAAAGTATTTTTAAGCACGTTAGAAAAATATAGCTAGGCAGGGTTGGCAAGTTTTTGACCATTGACGGTTTTATCCGTCATGTCAGAATAACCTTTTTGATGATTGTCAAAAACCCAAAATTTTGGCATAAGGATGATTATTAGCTATTATAAATATGAAGTATTTCTAAATTAACATACGTGCAAAATTGCAAGTGTTCCATCAATTATGTTCTTAAATTATTTTAATATAAAACTCTATTTATTTTGAAGATTACTGTCAAAAACTCAAATTTTGGTGTATAAAATATTAAATAATTATAAATAAAAATTTGTCAAATTGCAATTTATTACAATCCCTTTATTTGTTTAATTATTGAAAATAAAAATACAGAAGCAATTATCTTATTAAAGAAAAAAAAGACTTGAACAATCATCTTATCTTTATATGTAAAATCAGTTTTTATTTACTTACTCTTAATATTCTCAATTAATTTTAAATTTAATGAAGATGGGAGAAGAAAATTTAGAGGTGATGAAGCTTTAGGATTCTTGGCTGCTCTGGGGACCCACATGAAAATATGTAATAAGTGAATGATTCCGAAGTCAAGTTCAAGGATTATGGTACTGATCTATAAATAGAATAGAGCGTGAGAAGTCATTAGCTTGCCAGTGGTGAGGACGATGGCGCTTCACCGTTGGTGAAATTAACAAGAGAAATTAAGTTTTCTATCGCTATTAGGGAGAAAAAAAATTGACAATGTTTAGTTTGTCCCCATAATCAGCGAAAATTCGAGAGAGATTTTGGTTCGATTTCAGAAGGCAGAAAATGAATCCTGAAATTGAGAATCTCCTGCAAAATGCAACAGAGTTGCAGATGAGGGGGCAAAAATTCTTAACACTGTATTTAGCTCAGTATACGCACATGCTGACCCACAAGTATTTCGTGAAACAAATAGCTGTTTTCATACACTACGGACCAACGGTACGCCGAAATAGATTGAGGTTTAATTAATTGTGTAAACGTTGAATAGAATAATGTGCACAATGTCTTTTTGCATTATTCGTTGTGAAAAAAACTCTCATTTTGGAAAAGGGAAAATTAAGCATTTTTTAAAAGCACCCAATAAAAAAAGCACCTTTGAAGGTTTTTAAAAAATGAAAATAAGCTCCTTTAAGCACTTTTTGAAAACACTATGCAGGGCTGATTGTGCTCCGGAAAAAATCCGGATTTCCGGATTTTTCGCTAACAGTGATCCGGAGATCGAAGGTCCAGACGTTTAAAAAAATCATTGATCACATAAGTTTTTAGAAATCAAATTTTCAAAAGTGGAACTTAAAAACACAGTTTATTTTGTTTGTAAGGAAAAGCCAGATAAATTTTTTTATCAGTAAATAGTTATAATCATAAACTCAAGAAAGTAAGACATATTTGTAAATTTTAATTACTTCTCCTAGAAAAACCTAGTTTAAATTTTTTTCTAATTTTTCAATTTAAATTTTTTTTTTTTAACTCGGGAAATTTTCCGGAATTTTGACTTGGGCTCACAATTACCCCTGA